CCCTTCTTTCTTTCTTTCTTTCTTTCTTTCTTTCTTGTCTTTCGAGACAGGGTTACTCTGTAGCTCTGTAGACCAGGCTGGCCTCGAACTCACAGAGGTCTGCCTACCTTCACCTCCTGAGTGCTGGGATTAGAAGTGTGCGCCACCACCACTTGGCCTCGTTCATTCATTTTTGAGACAGGATATTGCTAAGTTGCCCAAGCTGGCTTTGAGTTTTCCCTGTTCTTGCTTCTTCTTCTTTAGAAGATGGGAAGACAGGCCTTGGCACAAGGTCCAGAGTGTGTTATCTTTTTTTTTTTTTTTTTTTAATCATATCGGGGAGGTTAGTCAGGTCCAGCCATGGGAGGGGCTGTGGGGGAGACCTGGGAAAGCATTTTCCTTCTACAGTATCCTGGAGGCAGGAGCCGTCTAAACCACATCGAGCTGGGCCACACCAGGCAGCCTGGGATGCTGGGAGCTCTGTTGGGGTTCCTGAGAAAGGCAGGGAAGAAGCAGAAGCTTGGGACTGCCCAGGATGAGACCTTCTGCAGGCTTGGCGTGGTGGGCTGTGCGTGGTCTGGTGCCTTGAAGGAAATGGCCCCTGTGGGAGGACTGGAGGCATGTAGGCAGCTTTCGACCAACCGATCACCTTGCCCACCTCAGACACACTTCTGGCTGGGCCTCTGCTGCTGCTGGGATGGCCGTGCCTTCCACAGCCTGCGAGGTTTCATTCTGACAGAGTCTTTTGACAGCCCAGGCTCACTCGTGTGTTAGTCTCCTGAGCGCTGGGATGACAGTGTATGCCACCATGCTTAGTCAATACCTCTCCCAGCCCTCTTCTTCAAGAATTCCCCAGCCAAAGTACCGGAGGCCCAGTGCCCTAAAGTACAAATATTAAAGCACTCATAGTTCATCAGGCCACGTAGGGTTTGAGGCTTGCCCAACAAGTAGAAGTTCACGGGGCGGCTGTCACCTCCATTCAGTCCCTCCATGTGCCCTGGCCCTGGGCGGCTGGGAGGTCGCTCTCCTCCTGGAGTCTGGCCTCCTGCAGCTGCTTGGGGGGGAGGAGAGCCGCACTCAGGGCAGACCTCAGAAGGAAGCTGGAGATGTGGGTGAGCTTGTCCGCACAATGTTTTATTGTTTTTTTTTTTTTTTTTCCAGACAAGGTTGCTTTTTGTTTTGAAACAGGGTTCTCACTATGTTGCAGTGGCTAACCTGGAACTCTTTATGTAGGCCATGCTGGGCTTTTACTCACAGAGATCAACTTGAGTCTGCTTCCCAAGTGCTGGGATTAAAGATGTGCACACCACCGCATCCAGCTGCACAGTGTGTTAGGTGTGTGTGGCAGGGTAACCCTCTCTCTTGGAAGACAGCATAGCACACCGAGCTCTGGGCTGTCCCAGGCCCCAGGGGTCCATATATCTGTGTTGTAACCTCCCTGTTTTTCCTGTTGTCTTCCCTCAGGCCTTGTATGACCCCATCAACCCTGACAGGGAGACCCTGGACCAGCCATCCCTTTCTGATCCCCAGCGTCTGTCCAGTGAGAAGGATGTGCTCCAGGCTCTGAAGCCCCTGCTGGCCCAGGCCAACTTCTCTGCACTCTCCGAAGATGCCCTGGCCTACGCACTTGTTGTCCATCACCCTCAGGATGAGGTCCAGGTACCTGTTCCCAGAGGAGCCATGTTTGCTTACCTAGAGAAAGCACCCGTCTTCCCCAGCCACGTTGGTCCTCTGCCGGGAACGGGTTATCAGATGAGGGTCTTGGCCAGGTGTGGTGCTGCCACCTGACAGTTCTGTGATAAACAGTGTAAAGCTCATTCCGTGGGCTGGAGAGATGACACTTGTTGCTCTTGCTGCACCCATATAGCCTCTTACAGCTGCCTGTGATTCAGTTCCGGGAGACCCAGCACCTTTTCTGGCCTTTCAGGTGGGCACCAGGCATGCCTGCAGTGCACTTACATACGTGAAGACCAAACACCTGTACATATAAAATAAAAATAAATCTTAAAAAATTCATAGGCTGGTGTGGTGATACACACTTTTAATCCCAGCCCGTGGGAGGCAGAGGCAGGTGGATCTCTGAGAGTCAGAGCTCAGCCTGGTCTACAGAGTGAGTTCCAGGCCAGTCTTGACTATATAGTGAAACCCTGTCTCAGTATCACCTCCAAACAATAACAATCAAAAAACCGCTCTGTCTTCCCTTCTATAAAGTCAGCAAAGGTGAAGAAATACTAAAATCTTCCAGTTCTACATTTTAGAGAACTTTAAACTGTATTTTTTCTAGACATATTCTGTCATATTTTAGGATGTGATCCGCCAGTGGCGGTGGGACATGGTTTAAGTGACGATGTCTTGTCTTTGTAGTTGCTTCATAAATGGAAACTCTTAAAACCAGTGCTGTCGTAGATTCTAAGCAGTTTCTTGTGTGCAGCCCCAACCTTATGCAGTGTACCACATGGACCATGCACGACTCCCTTACCTACACACTGCATGTTCAGCAACAGAAGGCAGGCTCCATTTCTGGGTAGGATGTGTATTCTGGCACCCCGCCCGTAACACCTGGCTCATGTTCAGCTACCTCTGCTTCCTTTTCCCCTTGGCAGGTGACAATAAATTTGGATCAGTATATCTACATGCAGTTCTGGGCCCTGGGCCAGAGAGTTGGGCAGATGCCCCACATGTCCAGTGTGGGCTCCAAACGTGGCTTCTTCAGAAAGTTGCCCCCTGTGGAGAGGTGAGGAGGCCCTTGTTCCCCAGTTGCAGCAAAGGGGAGCAAGGTTTGAATTGAGAGGGGATGATAGATAGATCAGTGTCTGGCTTTGGTGTCTTTGGCCAGGGAGAAGTCCAGAAATGGGAGGTATGATTGTCAGAATGCAGCCTTTTCTTTCCAAGAGGAAGTGTGAACTACTGTCTCTAGAGAAAGAGTAGGGGAGGCCAGTCATCTCCATTTTCCAGATGAGGAAAACTGAGGGCCAGAGAGGGGAGGCCACATCCTGAAGAAGTGGCACAGCCATGCTCTGGTCCAATAAGAATATAAAGTGACCGCCCTCCATGGCTGAATGTGTAATCTGCTTCCGACTCCTTATGATTAAGAAGCTTTCTAAAGGCCATATAGCATAGAGACATGGAGTTTTAGGTGTGTATCAGTTAGAGCTGATTCTATGTGTGTGTCTGTGCATATATATAATAAGTCATACATATAATGATCTGTTAGGCTGATTCTATGTGTGTGTGTGTATAAATAAGTCATATATAAAATGATCTGTTAGGCTGGCTTTCAGGCTGTGGTCAGGGTAGTCCAGTCATGGCTGCCTCATGATGGGAAGGGTGAGAATCCAGTGTTTTTTCAGTCATGGAGGTTTCTGGAGAGCTGCTGAGGAACCTTGAAGTTAGTCCTAACCCAGGAATGAGTTTGCCAGTGGGAGTGAGATCAAGCAGGCAGAAAGCAGAAGCCTCCTTTCTCCTGCCCTTTTATTTATTTGTTTTGAGACATGGTCTCCCCTTATGTTGCTCTGACTGGCCTGGAACTCCCTATGTAGACCAGGCTGGCCTCAAACTCAGAATATCTGTCTGCCTCTGCCTACTGAGAGCTGGAATCAAAGGCGTGCACCCCCAACCCCCAGGCCTTCTATATGGGCTGTCACTAGAGTGTGATTGCCAAGTTTAGGGTAGATTTGCCAACCTCAGCAATCCAGTCAAGCACGCCCTCACAGGAGTGCCCAACAGCTTGGGTTTTAGTTGATTCCAGATGTGGTCAAGGTGACAACCAGGAGTAGCCATCACAAGGTGAGACGCTCTGACCCTAACACCCCTCACCCTGCACTCATACCCTCCTCTCTGGCCCTCAGGAGATATTTCAAGCGTGTGGTGCTGGCAGCGCGTACTAAACGAGGGCACCTGGTTCTGAAGAGCTTCAAGGATACCCCGCTGGAGGGCTTAGAGCAGCTGCTGCCGGAACTGAAGGTGCGCACGCCCATGTTGCAGCGCGCCATGCTCAACCTGATGCTGGTGGTCTCGGGAGTTGTGTTCTTCGTCAATGTGGGCATGGTGATACTGTCTGACCTCAAGATGGCCACCTCCCTGCTGCTACTGCTCTTCGCTGCCTTCATGGGCCTGAGGGCCTCCAAGGTGAGCACCCTTGGGTCCCTGCTGCTTGAACTGCCCGGCCAGACCCCCCCCCCCCCCCCCCCCCCCCCGCCCCCCCCCCCCCCCCCCC